AACAAACAACTTATTATACAGTCCTGGAAATCAACTGTTTATGATATTTAGGAGCAAATTAATTGAATATTAACTGAGAAACACAGCACAATTTAATAATAAATTAGTTTCCCAGAATCTATGATGCAGTTGGAGGATCTGGTCCAACTTCCAAGAGCCATCATCTTCTTGAACCATAGCTTTGTTCTCCTCTATATCCACCATTTAACTGGCACTGAAAATTCATCCTTTAAGCCATATAATGCCTTTTTACGAGTGAAATGTCTCTCCAATTCCTTTTCCTTTCCTTCATCCCTGCAATTGCATGAAGGTAAACTCCCAAATTATGTGGTATCTTGATAGAATCTTTCAAATCCGGTGACTTGGCAGTGTCGATTACCAATTCCTCTCCGACATGAACATACCCAATCGGAGGAAGATTAGGACGAGATCATGGGCATTAGTAATGCGTAAGAGACGAAGATCATTATTATCTCCGAGTCCTTCGAAGACCGTTTTGAGCCATGGTCTCCGACAGGAGGGGCTAGAGAACAGTATGGCTCTGACCGGAAATTGCATTCCATGCATGCACAGAACTTTCACCTGCCCAAATATTAATTTGACTATGTAGTATAGGACTTCTTTCTTTGGCGTCCACTTGCACTATTCAAGTGTTCATTGAGTCTTGGTTAAATATTAGATGAAAATGTTCATTAAGTCTTGCCTAATTTTTTTTTTTTTTTTTTGAAACGCAATAATAAAAGTAAAACATATTTTAATCGAAATTTTAGTGGCTAATGAATTATTTCAATAAGATTAAATTTTATTTTTTTTTATACATGGGAAGCCTAATGAGTTAAAATAATATTGTGGCTTATACAGTATGTCCTCGCTTTTGAATAATATTCACCAAATTTGCGATAATCTTTGTAGTGGAAAAGACTCAAACTTAAAATCTCTTACTTTTTACATCTTCTGCGAAAGGTAGGAAGACCAATCAGACCACACCTGATTAATATTAAATTAAATGTTATTGATAATGCATATGGACAATTTTTTTTTTTTTGAGTGGTATATGTGTATATGAACAATTTTGAAATCCAACGTACAATTATCTTGGTAAGAAATTTTCTCTATCTTTGGTATACTAATAAACCCAATCTCAATGATATTCCGGAATTATCCATGAGTAAAATTATAATTCTATTAGTTATTAAATATAATGCTTAATTTTATAATATATAAAAAAAAAAAGTTATGGCAAGATAACCGATGTAACAAACTGGAATATCAAATTTTTTTTAGAGGAAAAGAACGAAAAAATAATAATAATTATTATCGTCATTTTTTAAAATCACATAAGCATATGAGAAAAGAATATCCCATACATTTTTTTAACACTTCCATTGCATTAATACTAAATGATCCTAGTGTTTCGTTAGAATCACTTGAACGTCTCGTGGACATGCCGGAGTGGTTATCGGGCATGACTAGAAATCATGTGGGCTCTGCCCGCGCAGGTTCGAATCCTGCTGTTCACGTGTTAAATCGTTTTTCTTTTATTTTAAGACTGGAACTATTTTTAATTCTCATCGTAATCACGTGTTTTCAATTTATTTTTTATTATAACATTTTTAAATATGCAATTTCAAATATTTTGGTTACAATTAAAGTATAAGATAGAATTAAAATAATCAAATAAATGATACTCCTTGCATTTTAAGATTGAAAATATTTGATTTTTCATCATGATTACGTGTTTTCAAATTATAATTTTTTTTATAAATAAATAAATTATATTCCTTGCATTTTAAGACCGGAATATTTGAATTTTCATCATAATCGTGTGTTTTCAATTTTTTTTTACAAATTGATTTTTCAGTATAATATTTTTAAATATACAATTTCAAGAAATGTGATTACAATTAAAATATAAGATAGAACTAAAATAAAATCAATAATTTGTAGATCAAATTAATCAAATAAAAAATATAAATTAAAATAAATATCTAAAAAAAAATTAGAACTTTTAGACAATTTGAAATTTTGTTAAGACAAAAAGATTGTTTTCTTGTGTTTGGTTTAATTGTTGGGAGCTAACTAATTATTTTAACTTCCAATAGTTAAGTTTACTCATTTGATAAACTGCAAAAAATTCAAACGTTGTCACGATACATAATACCTAAATGATTTGTAATTTTCTAATGAGCTAACATTTTTCTGTTAACAACTAATCCCAAAGCTTTATTTTGGAATTTTTAACTTTTTCTATCAATTTATATTTATGTTATAATGATTTGTATTTTAAATTTTGTATATTTATGTTATATTTTGATTATATTAAACATCATGTTAAATATTATAATTATAATTATTTTTCAAATTAATATTTTTATTTGATTACTTTATTTATGATTATTTTAAAATAATAAATTATCATTAAATAAAATATTTACTATAAAAATTTTAATTAAATAACATATTCATCTTAAAAATAAAAACTAGCATATGATAATAAAAAAAATATGAACTTCTATGGTCATTTTGAATTTTATCCCTCAATGCAATTAAAAATAATTCAGGTCAATAATTTATTCTCAAGGAATTCACCTTCGTTTATTTTAAAATAAAATGATATTTTAACATTAAAAGTTAACAAATGACAAATATATTTTTAGTATATTAATATATTTTTAAGATTTAAACTCTGTTTAATAAAAATGAAAAACAAAACTATTTGTATTGAGCTCAAAGAACACATTCTTCTCGAACTTCTCATACAGTAAAACTTTGCCATCATCAAGTATTAATAAATTTATAGATGATCCCAAAACCTTCTAGACCTGTCAATGAACCTACAAAAACATCCCCAACAGGCCAACATGAACAAAGTCTACCATCAGCAGAAAATGGAATGAGGTTTTATGACCTAAAATACAAAACGACAAAAACTGCGTCGACCACCTTTGGAGGTGCCTCTAGTTTAAAGTCATCTGCAGACTTTAGACAAAGTCAACAATATTATATGTCTATTGAAGGGTATCAAAACGAGTCTAAGAAAGCTGATATTATTGCTGGCTTGTAGGAAAGAACATGCATGTGATCGGTTAATTGGTTTATAGTCCACAGAGTTTGTATTTGCTGGAGATGCTTTTTCAAGTCGATGAAGGAAAGACTTGGTCCAAAGTCAATACTTAATGATATAATTCATAATTATACAATTCCATGAACTCACGAAAATAGGAAGTATTCGATTCGACGTAAATTTGTGTACTCTACGTATAGCTGGTAATCCCTTAATTAATCATTTCAAATTAAGGAGATTAAGAGAAGGATCGACATGTATCATGTGGAGTTTTAATTTTATTTTTGTAATTAAGGGAAGGGATATAGAATAATCATGATCAAGTGTGATAAAGAAAATAATATGATTTCATTAATAATCACTTCAACGTGAAGTGAGTCATCAAAAAAATTAGAAACCCTATTTCCAAAGCGATAAACATTATCAAATAATATCGCAATTAACCAAGCTTCTACTCTATGCCAATCATTTTTTGACCGTCCAAGAAATTTTGTTGTATTGTTGAAGTAATTAAGTACAGAAATATTAATTGAGCTAACCGAATAAGTTAAGTTACAAATGGTGAATTGACCATTCACGCGGATGTTGAAACTTGAAAGTTTGAAATAGCTCGTCTTCGGTCTTGACCTATGGGTTTGTCACATTGGCTGAACGCGGGGTTCCGGTCTTGCTCAGCCATGTCTGTTTCAACGAGGTCAATGGGTTTGGAAGCTTATGAAGGACTTATTACTAGACAACCAAAACAAATTCCACCAATAATTTTCAATACTATTGCAAATTAATCCTTATAAACATTTCCTAAATTACATTAGCAACCTATATCAAACTTCAAATCCCTCAATAATCAAGTACTTTAGGTTTTTTTTTTTTTTTTTTTTTTTTGCAACCTATCATCAAACTTCAAAATCCCTCAATAATCAAGTACTTTTAGTTTTTTTTTTTTTTTTTTATTTTCTGTATTAAAAAATTGTTTTTTTTTTTTTTTTTTTTTTATATTTCTGTATAAAAATTTTTGAAAAGCACATGCTAAATCCTTTCAAGGTATTATAATTAGACTGCTTATTTGATAAAATATGTTTTCTTTTTCGTTTGGGAATAATCCCAAAGAAATTCTGTGTGATTATAATTATTGAGGATGCTAATTTGTTCCATTTTGTTAGTTTGCTTTTTGTTATTTTAAAAGTCAAAAGCAAAAGGTGGTATTTTGTTGTTCTATAAGTGTGGTCATAAACTCGGTCTAGGCAAATCATTTGTTTTTTTTTTAGAAGAATAAAATGATATGATTAAACAATAACATTTCTAAGTTAGAATATCTTAATTTTTTGTATTAGTTTTCCATGACAAATCATTTTATTACTCAATAAATTTGCACTTTTTTTAAATCAAAATGGAATAACTTACTACTTTGGTCTAGCGGTTAAAGTGCATTAGGTCTTACCCTGGCGATCGCACCACCGAGTTCTGGAGTCGGCATCTTAGGGAGAATTTTAAAATATAATCGTTACTCGTTCCGAAAGGGATTAGTCAGAATATCTTTGGCAAAAAAAAAAAAAAAGGAATAACTTAGCAATCACAAAAATCATAATTAATGCACAATCAAACCTTTATTTTTATTCTTTTATTTTCATTCCTTCCGACTTAGACAGATGGGAACTTCCATTTCCTTCTTTAGACAGGCTTTTCAAGACTCTTTAATGTGCGTTCAATGCATTTTGCAATTTTTTTTTCCTTTTCCAGTTGTCTTAACTGGCCTGACTTAAAATAAAAAACCAAAAAGGATATAGTTTTGACTTTTCTTTGCAACTAATTAAAAACCAAAAGAATCTTTTTTTTTTTAAATAATAAAGGAAAACTAAAGAATAAAAAAAAAAATTCTTTTGCAATCCCTATAAATAGCATCTTTTTCCAGTTTCAAATACACAAGCCTAACTGAACATCTCAATCTAGGTCTACAAAATTCAGACAAAGAAAGATGCAAAGCCCAGTTAGGTTTTCGAGCTGCAGAGGAGTAGAGTTTGAAATCAAACCTCATCCTGATCCGTTTGCTTTTCCTGCACCCACCAAAGATGAGCAAAAAGGCAGCAGCAGCTTTTGGCTTTCTTTGTTTCAAGGCAACTCCTCCAGAATTTTCCCTTCTGCTGTTCAAAGGTCTGCCAGCCGAGCCAGTAGCCATTACTGTGATCTTGACTTTGAAAACGACCACCACGATGAAGAAGCCATCAGTTTACAAATATTAGAAGAAGGAAAAAAAGAGGAGAAAGAACTTAATGCAAACCCTCTTCCTTCTGCTAGTAAGCGAGAGCAACAGCCTAAGCCTGCTCGAAAGCCACAATCAAGACTGTCCATTATTCTTCTCGATCAAGGCTTGTTTACAGTTTACAAGCGGCTTTTTGTCGTTTCATTGACTTTAAACATAACCTTTTTGGTTCTTGCAGCCACTGGTCACTTCCAATATGCAAGAAACAGAGCTGCACTCTTTTCAATATGCAATATTTTTGCTTTGACGCTTTGTAGAAGCGAGGCCTTTCTGCGAGTTGTTTTCTGGCTTGTAGTTAAACTACTGGGAAGATCTTGGATACCTATCCCAATCAAGACTGCTACTACCTCTCTTCTTCAAAGCCTTGGTGGAATACATAGCAGCTGTGGTATTTCTTCTATTGCTTGGCTTATATATGCTTTAGTTCTCACTCTTAAGAAGAGAGACTATACATCCTCAGAGATAATAGGTGTAGCCTGCACCATTTTAGCACTTCTCTGCATATCTGCTTTAGCTGCATTCCCTCTAGTACGACATCTCCATCATAACGTATTTGAAGGACTTCATCGATTCGGTGGATGGACAGCTTTAGCTCTTGTATGGGTTTTTGTTATCCTCACTGTCTCTTATGACCCAATATCCAAATCCTATAGCAATGATTTTGGCTCCAGATTGATAAAAAAAGAAGAATTTTGGTTCACAGTAATCACAACATTTCTAATCGTACTTCCATGGGTAACAGTTAGACGTGTACCTGTCAAGATATATGCTCCTTCTTCAGGTCATGCCAGTATTATAAAATTCCAAGGAGGTGTTAAGTCTGGTATTCTTGGAAGGATTAGTCCATCCCCATTAAGAGAATGGCACGCTTTTGGAATAATTTCTGATGGGAAAACAGAACACATGATGTTAGCAGGTGCAGTTGGTGATTTCACCAAGTCACTAGTTTCAAACCCACCAAGCCACTTGTGGGTTAGACAAGTGCACTTCGCAGGCTTGCCTTATTTAGTGAATATGTTCGAAAGAGTTCTTTTAGTGGCTACAGGATCAGGTATTTGTGTGTTCTTGTCTTTTCTTTTGCAGCCTAGTAGAGCTAATGTATGCATGCTTTGGGTGACCAAAGGAGTAGATCAAAACTTTGGTAAAGAGATTAAAGAAATGATGAGTGGACATCCTAAAGACAAGGTAATTATACATGACACGGCTGTATTGGGTCGCCCCAATGTGGCTCAGATGAGTATTGATGCTGCTAAAAAATGGGATGCTCAAGCAGTCGTTGTTACAAGCAATCCTGAAGGAAGCAGGGATGTGGTTAATGCTTGCAAGGCTGCTGGTTTTCCTGCCTTTGGTCCTATCTGGGATTCTTGAATTTTATGCTGAGATCGATTGTATGATATATATATGCGAAGAGGCTGCATGGTTTCTCCTGCCTTTGGTCCTATCTGGGATTCTGAATTTTATGCTGAGATCGATTTGTATGATATATATATATATATATATATAATCATATATATATATATATATATATATATTATATTTTTTTTAAGTTCTATATATATATATTTTTTTAAGTCAGCTATTAAAAAATGGTAAAGGGACCTTTTATGGTCTATTGATCATAAAATTAATCCCAGAACATGTACTGCAATAAGGATTAATCCAAGATTGTTTGTCTCATGTTGCTACGTGTAGAATTAATAAATAACTGTTATTTGTTGCTCATATTGTGTTTCTTTTCGTGTTTTACTCTTTTCTTAACTGCATTGGGAATCAAATATCAGTTTTTTTTTTTTTTTTATATACAACAGGTGCTCTTAATTAGCTCATTGGGCTGAATTTAATCCTACTTAAATGGAGCCAGGTACATAAAGGGAAAGTATTACCACTGGAGATTTTTTCCATTCACAAAGATCGAACACACTTATTTAAGGGACACGAATTCTTTCCACTGAGTACCAGGCATGTTAATTTCAAAAAAAAAAAAAAAAAAAAAAAAAAAAGATGTTGTAATGGCAAAAAGTTAGAGCTAACCCGTGTCCTTCCATGTTGTGTCTAAAAAAAGTCTGAAACACCTGTAGACACCTTCTTAACCCCCTTGTCCCTTAAATTGTGCTTAAACAAAACTGTTTCGTTAAAATTGTAAAGTGACCAAACATTACATTATAATTAATACGATGTGCCTCGAGGTGGAAGACAGAGACACACGTAGGTAAGGGGTTTAATGGGAATCTAAACTTTGCTCCCTCCATCGCTCCCAGGGCCTCCAACCTACCGCTTCCGACACCAAACCGAGTCCATCCGCCCGTCAGAACCGTTCAAGCACTCATGGTACAAATACCTCTAAAAAAAAAAAAAAAAAAAAAGATGTTTGTAATGGCAAAAAGGTTGTAGGTAAGTGTTTCCATGTTTGTTAAAAAAAAGTCTGAAACTTAGAATTCTTAACCCTTGTCTTAAATTGATGTTAACAAACTGTTTCGTTAATTGTTAAATGACCAAAATTCATTAATTAAATACAAGTAGTAGCTCGGATGGGAGACGAGACCCCGTAGGTAGGGTTAATGGGAATTAAAACTTTGCTCCTCATGGTCAAGGGCCTCCCACTACGCTCCGAACAAAGAGTTCCATCCGCGTAAGAAAGTTGAAGCACCTCATGGTACATATGGGAAAAAAAATCAGGTAATGTAAGTTTTGCATGCCAAAATGAAGTAACCATAATGATTCTTGATTACATTCTTCAAATATTTTATATTTCTAGTTTATATTTGTTATGGGTATATCATAACTTAATTTTCATTTTTATGAATATATAAATTAAATCTATTATGCATAAAAAAATTTTGTAATTTTTATATGTATCAAGATTTCAAAATTTCAGAACATGTATTTTCATATTATAAATATTTCTTTTTGCGCTATTTATTTTCTATATTAATATAAATGTTTTATAAGTATATTTATAAAGGATGATCCCAAAATAATAATAATAATAATAGTGTTATTGCATCTGGCCATTTTCGAAACTAGCAGTGGACTATGATCTGTACTGAAAAATCACAAAAGGATAATCGGTTATTTCATTTGGCCAGGTTATTGCAATGTTCCAACCGCCGATTACGTTAAAAAGAGTGAGCTCAGAAGGGAATTAATTAACAATTACAATCCTTTTCAACTAGTTAATTAAGAAAAGAATTATAAACAAGGAACCTAGCTAATATCAAAATCATTGCACGTCATTTGCAATCTTCAGGCTACCACGTTCAAGACGTTCATTCTTTTTCCTTTGAAAAAGAATTTAACTTGACAGGACTATGTCTATGGCTATGGCTAGTTTCTTTTCTCCAAAAATTAAAAAAAAAAAAAAAATGTAAGGACTAGGTCTACGACAATTACTACAAAGATCATACGTGAAGAGTGATGATTGTGTGTATATATATATATATATATATATGGTAGTGAAAATTTCATTGATCATCTTCTGTTGTGATGATGGAAGTATATTAATTAAGCTATTCAAGGCTGTAATCGAATAAAAAAATTATATTGACATGGAAATTATTATTTTCTCATAAATAATTATTAAGTTTTTAATTAAATGGTACTCAAGCATTGAATATTTTTTTCTTATTAGTACTTGCGTATAGAAATTATGATTTGAACTAGAAGGCACTCTCCCATTACGGCAGCATAACTTTGACCGACCCATCAAAGGATATAAATGGCTTATTTCTAGATAATATTTTTAGAGTTCCATACCTTATATTTTTTTTATGAAATTCTTGTCTTTCTTTCTTTTTTTTTCTCTGAAAAAAAAAAAATTGAGCTACTGGGTTTTGAAAACGGATGAATAGTTAATAGCACTTTTTTTTTTCTTTTAATAGCACATATCCTTCACTGGGTTTTGCTAAACTTTATGCTCAAGCTAAGGTAATTAGTTAAGGAATAAGAATTCTTAATTAATTAGGTATTCAAAAATCACAAACAAAGAAATTATACAATCAAATACGCAAGTCGGGAACAATTGGCTCAGAACTACAGAGAGATGAATTTAGACGGCTGACATTACATCGGGTTTTTTTTTTTTTTTTTTTTTTTTTAATGGCTCAGAACTACGACGAGACTGCCCACACATTATAGAGAAACGGCTGACGCATCTACCATCGGCCGTTTTATTTTTTTTTTTTTTTTCTTCGAGATTAAATATTTCCTGATAATATGCAGAATATCATAGTATAGACACACTAGGATACAGCAATAGCTATAAAAACTGCATGCAAATAAGAGCATTGATCGCATCTAGATATAAGCCGTAGACCCATTTCCCATTAGTGATGTAACGCCTAGAACAATCATTTATCTTGTTTTTCCCTCAGAAAGATTCCACCTCGACAATGCTTTGGATAACTTCTTTGTGATGAACTTAGAACCACCACTGTCATTCATCAGGGTTTTTTTTTTTTTTTTTTTTTTTGTTAAATATTTACTGATAATATGACAGAATTAGTCAATGATTTAGCATTCTGTGATTACAAGCAATTAGCTGATTAAACTCATGCATTGGCCATTGATGATCAGATAAGCCGTAGACATTTCATTAGTGATGTAAGTGAAATCATTATTTGTTTTCCTCAGAAAGATTCACCTGACAATGTTTGGATAACTTCTTGTGATGACTTAGACCACCAAAGGGCTTGTTATTTCTTAGGCCGTTAGCCATTCTACTGGAACTACTGGGCGATTACTTTCCAATAAGAAGCCGAGTAAAAATGAGATCGGAAGAGTCCCTTTTTCTTATTAAATAAAAACCCCGAGTTTGAGCGTTGGTTGTAGAACATCTTTAAAATTTGATAGGCAGCGGTAGACTTATCTGGCACCGGATAATTTATTTTAAATAAAAGTGAATTACCTCACATAAAATGTTCCTAAATAGTACGAAAATCAACCTTTTATCTTATACTCCAAAGTCCGATGCAGTCTTCTTCATGTTACTGTGATTTGGCTTTGTCATTTGAAATTATTTAGACCTAATCAAATATGACAATTTAGGAAACTTTCAGCCGGCATTATTGTGAGCTTGGTCTTGAATCTTTCAAAGTTAATTGTGTTCTCTTTCTATACAGTATTAACTTTGAAAGTACTTGCAGACTGCTTAAATGTGTTGCCACTGTATTTTTAAGTTCCAAGTTGCATTCTCAACTCTCCTGACCTAATAAAAAAGGAAGAAATAGTATTAGTTTTGACTTTTTCCTTGCACTGAGTGACGATATTTAAAAAATAAAATAAAATTAAAGAACAAAAAAATAATATTCACAAGCTCTATAAATAGCCAACTTTGCAACCATTAACTACACAAGCCACAGTACTGAGCATCCCAATCTTTTTTACATACAAATCATTCTTCGCCTACAAATCCTAAAAGAAAACGTGAAAACCTTACCATGCAAAGTCCGGTGAGGTTTTCAAGTTGCCGAGGAGTGGCGTTTGAGATCAAACCTCATTCTAATCCATTCACTCTTTCACCAGTCCCAGAGGAGCCAACCGGTAGCAGTAGCTTTTGGTTTTCTTGGTTTCAAGGGAACTCCTCAAAAGTGTTCCCTTCTACTACTATTCAAAGGTCTGTGAGTCGAGCTAGTAGCCATTTCTGTGATCTAGAGGACGATGAAGATGAAGATGACATCATTTTCCAAATATTGGAAGAAGGAAAACAAGAGGAGATCAAAGAATTTACGCCAAACCCACTTCCTTCAGCTAGTAAGCGTGAGCAAGCTCCAAAGCCTGCTCGAAAGCCAGAATCAAGACTGTCAGTTATACTTCTCGATCAAGGCTTGTTCACTGTGTATAAGCGGCTTTTTGTCGTTTCATTGACCTTGAACATTACCGCTTTGGTTCTTGCAGCTACCAGCCACTTCCCATATGCAAGAAACAGAGCCGCTCTATTTTCTATAGCCAATATCCTTGCTTTGACGCTTTGTAGAAGCGAAGCCTTTCTGCGAGTTGTTTTCTGGCTTGCAGTGAAAGTATTGGGAAGGTCTTGGATACCTCTCCCAATCAAGACTGCTACTACCTCTCTTCTTCAGAGTCTCGGTGGTATACATAGCAGCTGTGGCGTTGCTTCCATTGCTTGGTTAATATATGCATTAGTTCTCACTCTTAAGGACAGAGAAAACACCTCCTCAGAAATAATAGCTGTAGCCTCCACTATTCTATCACTTCTCTGCTTATCTGCTTTAGCTGCCTTCCCTTTAATACGCCACCTGCATCATAACGTATTTGAAAGGACTCACAGATTCGCTGGATGGATAGCTCTCGGCCTCCTATGGGCCTTTGTTATACTCACCATCTCTTATGACCCAAAAACTAAATCCTACAGCAGCGAACTAGGCTCCAGGTTAATCAAACAACAGGAGTTCTGGTTTACAGTAGCTATTACAGTTCTAATTATAATTCCATGGGTGACTGTTAGACGCGTACCTGTCAAACTATCCTCTCCTTCAGGTCATGCCTCTATAATAAAATTCCAAGGGGGAGTAAAATCCGGTATTCTTGGAAGGATTAGTCCATCGCCATTTTCCGAATGGCATGCTTTTGGAATAATATCTGATGGGAAAACTGAGCACATGATGTTAGCTGGTGCAGTTGGGGATTTCACGAAGTCTTTAGTCTCAAACCCACCAAGCCATTTGTGGGTTAGACAAGTGCACTTTGCAGGCTTGCCTTACTTGGTGAATATGTACGACAGAGTTCTTTTAGTGGCTACAGGTTCAGGTATTTGTGTGTTCTTGTCGTTTCTTTTGCAGCCAAGCAAAGCTGATGTGTGCGTGCTTTGGGTCGCCAAAGGAATAGAGCAAAACTTTGGTAAAGAGATTAAAGAAATGATGAGCGGACATCCTAAAGACAAGGTAATTGTGCATGATACGGCTGTTTTGGGTCGGCCTAATGTGTCTCAAATGAGTGTTGATACTGCTAAAAAATGGGGAGCTGAAGTAGTCATTGTTACAAGCAATCCTGAAGGAAGCAGGGATGTGGTCAATGCTTGTAAGGCTGCTGGTATTTCTGCCTTTGGTCCTATCTGGGATTCTTGATTTCAATATTGAGAGAACAGTTGTATTATATTTGTTGTATTATGGAACCCGATCAAATAATCTCAGCACAAGCGCTGCAATCAGATTGTGTGTCTCATGTTGCTACTCAATTAATAAATTAATTGTTAATTGGAGTTCAGATCATGTTTCTTAATTTCTTGTTGCCCTGAGACACTCAAGTCAAGGGAGAGATGAATGATGGCGGAAAAAAAAAAAAAGGTAAGGTCTCATGCATTAACTTTGGTTCAGAGTACTAAAAAACTTCATAAAAATTAAATTGCTTTCGTTGAGAATCGAACTCAAGACCTCCCGCTTACTAAACGGGTGCTCTAACCAACTGAGCTACGAAAGCAATCAATATTAAATTGCCATTTTACATATAAAAACTTTAAACGAAATTCGTTGTTCGTTACTTTATTTTAGCTAAATTTCACAATTGGTTTTTAATTCTGTGTTTAAGCTTTCACAATCCTCTTCACTTTAACAATTTTTAGTGTTACAATTATATTATATATTGTTTAAATTTACAAAAGTACTGTTACAATTATATTATATATTGTTTAAATTTACTAAAGTACGTGAAGTTTGATAAATAAAAATTAAAAATCAAATAAGAGAATTCATTATTGGCTATAATAAAAGTTACTCAAGAACTCTATATATGAATAATATATGATGAGAACCCAAAAAGAAAAACAAAGATGTGAAAATGACTAAGCTATTCTACCTTGATTTCCTCATTTATATATTTGAAATTAAAATGGATTATAAGAACTTAAGTGGATAATTAGACCATTTCCACTTATTTTATATGTCTAATGATCAACTATATTAGGCCTGCTATCAATCCTTACGGCACGCAAAATTAGGCCCAGAAAAGCAAAATAATGCGAACGAAGTGGCAACAATACAGTTTTGAAAGCCCACATATGTACATATAAACGCTGTAAGAAATGGACTTCTTAATCAAAATCTGATAGATGACACCTACTCCAATTGGCAAATCCTCATGCCTTGCGACATATATAGCTACTTCAATTTTTCTCTTTTTTGTAATTTCTATAACCTATATATGGTTCTTATTTCTACCCAAAATGGGTTTGTATTGCCCCTTTTTGGCTGAGCTGCCGCTTAAAACGTAATTTATGATGGTGTATTTAAAAATAAGTTTATAATTATTAAGTCTGCTTAAATTTACAGTATTTCGTGCATGTCTGTAAGATATCTCTTGTATATAGTATCTCATGAATAAATAAATAAACAAATTCTGCAAGAAATGGACTAGAGGTGCAAACTGAGAAGGACACAAGAAATTAAGAAGAACTCCATTAATTAGATAATCATATATCCTTTTTATTTGTAAATATGACAAACCATGAAACTAATCGATGGAGTTATTAAAGGGGAAATTTCGTAAGGGGTGGTGTAGAGAAAGAACCATTGATCAAACCCATAGCTATAATCCGATAGGCAGCTTCTGTCAAGTGAATTCCATCCCAGTTTGCGTAAGTAGAAGGATTAACACATGCTTTTGAACCTACATGACCACATCTTGCAAAATTATTGAAATTGTAAGATCCACCCCCTCCACAGCATGCTGTGAGGACCCCATTGTAAAATCCTGCATGCATTAATCGTTAATGCTTACCCTGTTATAGTTAATCAATAGGTTACAGAAGTGTTCGTATAATATGTGAATCTTGAATTTTCACGTACCGTAATGTTTTGGTGAGTGATAGAAGCGCTTGGCTGCTCCATAATAATCAGCATAAATGATTCTTGCATTTGGATACTTGTTTCTTAGGGTTTCCAGAGCTCCTTTGAGCTGGTTGTTATGGTACTTGGAGAAAGAATTGTAAGCTTTCAAACACCCGTTTTTATCATAATCTGCTTTGTTAGGGCTTTGAAATAAGGTCAAATATACAGCAGAGCATCCTATTGGTAAGTTCCCTGGCACCATCAATTCTACTGCACCTTCTTCTATCAATACCTAAACCCAATAACGTTTCCAACAAATATATAGAAATTGTATTAATAAGATGCAATAAATTGAAATCTTACTAGCAGAATTATATATTTGAAATGAGAATTCAATCTTTGAATTCAGTAAAAAAAAAAAAAAAAATTGTAATCCCAGAGGTAGATTTAGGGTACGGGGCAGTGGGGGCACTTGCTTCCTTGATTTCATACCCCTTAGTTCATAGTTCTTTACATTTTAGTCTATGTATTACATTAATTTAAATTTATTTTACCATGTTCCTATCTTTTACCTCCACTGAATTATTATATTTATATACTGTCTCATTAATTAAATTTTCTGGATCTGGTCCTGTTTGATCGCATTAATTAACCTATATACGTATACATTAATGTACCATGTCAAGACTTACAGTGATAGCTTTGGTGATTGCTCCAACAACCAATGGTACAGAAGCTCGAAGTTGTTTAATGCTTCCACCCACAAAAAATGGATAATTATAGTCGTTCCCACCGATTTCTCCCACAACAAATAGTGATTTTTTGAAGTAATTGTCACATTCTAGTAAAAAGAGGACATTCAAGAAAAAAAACAGTCAAGTGAACATAATAATTATAAATTAATGGAGTGTGAATATTAGGTTTTTGTCACTGTCACCTTGTTTAGTAGTGCAAAGAGAAGTCTTCAACTCCTTGAACCAACCAAGCTGTATACTCAGTGAATCATTTGTCCACAAAACTTGGCCAATTTTTTTGTCATAAAAGAATTCAGAACTGAGTGCCGTAGCTCCGGCAACCGCAAAATTCACCCCGTCTCGGAAATTTTGGCCTTTGCCAAGCCCTAGATAGGGTGGCAAATGTGGCAATCCAGACGCCTCGGCTACATTAAATTCCAACAGCACAGAAATGTCATTTATCATGCAAGGGAAAGATTTACTTTACTAAGTCACAATTTGTGCAAATAAATGTATAAGTGTCTTGCTTTTTAATGGAAAAAAACGTTAAACGTGCATGAATCGTCTTTTTTAAATAACAATCAACTGTTGATATGAAAGTAATACACTCAATACAGATAAATGTGAGAATATATTTTGGCCATTTCGAACAGAAAAAAGAAACCATAGTTTTGGATTTACCAATGAAATCGACCACTAGACGTCCGTCAGAGCACCTCCCTGTTGGGTGCCGGAAGTAGGTTTCACCATAGGGTAGCTTTCCTATGACTGGAAAAGCTAATGCACCAGAAAGAAGGAAATTTCCAGTGTCACTAAGAGAGTCACCAAAGTTAAAAATTGAGTCATACTTCAAAGGATTTGTAGAGACAATTCCAATGAAGCATAAAGCAAGGCAAAGGATCATAAAATTCCTCATGATGCAAGAAATTTTGCGAAAAATGGATTCTTTTTCTTTCTTCTTAACGTGATTAGATGGAAAGTTAACTATATATTGTATCTTTAACGTTTGAAAGCAACTTCTACCCAATTTTGCACCTCTTTCTTTATGACTTGCCCACATATGCATACTCTTGTGACTTCTCTTAAATTAGTGTTTTCTCAAGTTGCTGATACATCAAATTTCTATTCATAAATTTGCTAATTTCTATGTAGAGATCTCGATCTAGTAAGCAATTGCTTAAATAAAGTAATTTGATGGATTCACCTTATCTTTGAGACGCCTCGGCCTCACATTAACATTCCAACGCTCAGAAATGTCCATTATCATGCAAAGGGAAATGCTTTACCCTTTACTAAGCCTCCACACATTGTCGCCCAACACATTAAATGTATAAGTGTTCCCCCCTTGCTTCTATAATGGAAAAAACGCTTAAAACGTGCATGAATCGTCTTTTTTTAAATAAAACATCACTGTTGATTATGCAAGTAATACCACCTCAAATAGCCAGATAAATTGCTGAGTAATATATTTGGGCCCAAGTCGAATACGAAAAAAGAAAACCATAGTTTTGGATTTAAACCAATGAATATCGACCACTTAAGACGTCCGTCAGAGGCACCTTCCCTGCTTGGTGCCGGAACGTAGGTTCACCACCTAGGCGTCCGCCCTTCCTCCTAATGACTGGACAAGCTCCAATGCCCACCAGACAAGAAGGAAATCTCCAGTGTCACTCCCCAAGCCGAGTCACCAACACGCCCCTACAAAAATCTGAGTCATACTTCAAAAAGCGATTTGTAGAACAAATTCCAATGAAGCCATAAATGCAAGCAAAGGATCATAAATTCTCATGATGCAAGAAAATTTTGCGCAAAATGGAATTCTCTTGTTCTTTCTTCTTAAACGGTGGAATATAGATGGAAAGTTAACTATATCATTGTACTTTAACGTTTGAAAGCAACTTCTACGCTCAATTCCTCGCACCTCTTCTTTTCCCATCCGACTGCCCACATACCTGCCACACTCCTTGTGCACTTCTCCTAAATTGAGTGTCTTCTCAAAGTCCTCTGCTGATACATCATATTCTCTATTCATAAAATTGCCTAATCCCCTCCTTATGCGTACGAGACCTCTCCCGATCTAGTAAGCAATTGCTTAAATAAAGTAATTTGATGGATTCACCTTTACTCCTTTGCTTTACTTGTCACAAAAGTGTGCTAATCCAAGTATATTTGATGGATTCACCTTATCTTGTTTACTGTCTACAAAAGTGTGCTATATACTTATTCGATATGGAATTTTTTTTATTTTAATTTTCTGTGATTGGAAAAGGAAAGGTGTTTACTGTCTACAAAAGTGTGCTATATACTTATTCGATATTGTGATTTTTTTTTATTTTTTAATTTTCGTGATTGGAAAAGGAAAGGTATGGGAGTTGAACCACACTTTTAGTTCATATTAAACTTTGATTATATTAAGAAATAATAATGGGTGGCATGATATAATTTTTAAGTAACATTTGACCAATTATTTATTTATGCAAAACATTTTTCTAAATTGATTATATATTTGACTGCAAATGTTACTTGCTACAAGTTTTCTACTTGGAAAATGGCAACCATTTCATTTTTCTGGCCATGAACTAAGATTTAATTATCTAACCCAAATAATTAAATTAACATTTATATTTATCATTATGTGGCAATATGTTTTGGGCCAGGCTTCCATGTGTCACAGGTGAGCATAACAGTTGGTCAGTCATTAGTTAAGGTCGTTGAGCTGTAACAAGTGTCAGAAAATTGACCATGTACAGCTAAATAGTATTTTGGAATTCATATCTCACAGAAGACAACAAAATAGTATTTTGGATCACATTGAATTCTTTTCCTCTAACATGCTTAAAGCCATAAAATTTAATGTACATGATATTATGGTTACAATCACCCGAAGGGTCTCATATAAAACAAGGCAATTCCAGCTTTTCTCATATTTCAAATTCTGATTTAGAACATGGAACCAAGACTTGGATTTCCAATCTGCTTATTTATGAACTAGTCTAAAGCATCAAAAAGTTATTGTGGATTTGGAGGACGGCTGTTAGCTGCAGAAACTCTGGATCCCCATTCCAGCAGCTCTTTACTAGTATCATCCTTGTGCACCAAAACTTCGATGAAACATAGAGAACCCTTTTGTTCTCCAGTTGCTGTTGCAATTGCTTCTCTTAGTTGTTCCTCTGTTCGGACCTGTATCAACACTGAATCCATCAGTCCCTCTCAAAGCAAATAGCCATTGTAGTATTAAAACAAGCAATGTGAATAGAGAGTAGCTCTCATAATTTTGCAGATTCCGATGCAAGGAATAAGTAAAAGACACAGATGCCAATGTCCTAATCATATGATAAAATATGGACCTTTATTGAACTATTCTAACCTTTGCTGTCCAGCATTTGCCTTCATCATTATGGATTGCATTGACAAGGCCAGTGTAATCCCAGTTCTTTATTACATTGTAGGGGCCATCGTGAATCTCTACTTCAATTGTATAACCCCCATTGTTAATGAGGAATATTATAGTCTTTTGTCCCAATCGAATCATTGTTGAAATATCCTGAGCCGTAACCTGAATAAGGAGAAAACAATTTACCACACCTTACACCTTAGCAATTTGTTAGTCACATGATAGCACAGAATTCAATGTTAGTTGTCATGATGGCAGTCATATAGACCTCTGCAGTTCGTGTATTCTTCTTCTTCCCATTATGTTTTATTTCTTTAATGCTATATCATGGTGAAGTTGTGCTTATCAACATAAATTTGGTATGAAAATGTTAATAATATCACTCACCTGGAAACTTCCATCACCAATGCAAGCAATCACGCGCTTCGTTCTGGCTGCCTGAGCATATCCAAGAGTAGCACCAACTGACCAGCCAATAGATCCATACTGCATCTGGAATTCATACCTGAACAAATTGTTCATAAACAATTGCCAGCCTTTTAATGACAAATAAGAAGAAAAACATTCAAATTTTACAGCTCCCCCGGTTACTAAATTACTTACCCACAATTCTCCGGGAGGCGGAGTTTCTGACAGTTGAACCATGAATCTCCAGTTTCCGCAATTACAGCAGTGTCCCCGCTTAGCATTTCCTTATTCATGTTCAAAATCATTTAGGAAATTGACAGTTGTGAGGCACACTTAGATAGCACATAAAATATCAATTATGAAGGAAGAATGCCACTTGGTAAAATTTTGCACTATCAGGCTCTTTGGACGTTTCAGATTTTCTACTCTTTAAACCCATACTCGAGTAAAAACTGGCAATTAATATCGTTAAATTGATTAGCCTTGCATTAAGATTTAGGAAGATGAGCTCATTAAAGAACAGAATAATAAAGGATAATATGGGTAGAACTAGAAGACCTAGAAAACAACCGTATAAGGATTTACCCCTTTATACAAAAAAGAAACAAAGAAAAGAAGTAAAGGCAACTGGTAAGACATGTGTTTGGACTCTTGCTAAGAATAAGCGGCATATGTTACCCCTCCTATGCCAAGAAAATCAACTGAGAGGCCTAGCAACCATTTCTATGGTCATACAAATTATAAACTTTAATATAATCACAAGATTAGCAAGACTATTTTACGTTGTGTACCTGAATGTGCTTGAAGAGTACATTGACCCTAAGAGGTTCATCTTTCTCACTCTTCAGAGGGAGACCTGGAGGGACAAAGATACGTCGGTAATTTTCCATGGCGGTGCTATTCTTCCTCAATTTCTTGGCCAATGCACTTAAAAATTCAGTCATAAAGACCCAGCCAAAGGAAGGACCATTGCCAATAGCCACACGATTAGCCTGCACTATGACCGCTTTTTCCTTATTGATCAGCAAGGAGTATCCGACAGAGCTGTAGTCATTGAATATAGGACCAATAAAAATATAGGCATCAGCAGACTCCACTATCTCCCCACAAAAGCTTGTGCTAACAGCACCCCAGTAAGTCCCAATGAAGTGTGGATGATGCTCTGGCACTAGCCCTTTACCAGAGGGCATAACAGCAACTGGGTACCCACTGGCATCCGCGAGCTCTACAAAGGCCTTCTGCGCCTTTGCCACCCTTAATTTGGGTCCTGCTACGATGACAGGTTTCACAGCTTTATTCAGAAATGCAGCAGTTGCTTCAACAGCTGCCTCTAATCCCAACTGGTTGCTTACACTGCATGAGAAAATTGAAGGAAAACCACCTTAAATTATTTAAATGTAAGTATTAAATGTACATTATGATATTTAAGAAAGGATAAGCCAAAACACATCACACTTCTACTTTCCCGGTTTAGTAGAATTAATTGAAGAAATTGCAAAAAAAAAAATGCAACAGGTATAATCTAAGAGTTCAAATGTGAGTGTAATGCATCAACACAAAGCAAACTGAAAATCAGCTAAGATGATGATTTGGTCTCATATATATGTTCATTGCAAAGGCTAAAACTAAAAGTCCTACATCATACTCATAACTCTTGCAATAAAAAGTTAAGACGGGGAAGTTCAACAACAAAAGCAGTAGATGCCAGAATGTGATTATCCTTGAATGACCAACTGGAAATGATCATTAACAGAGTTGTCATTTCAAAGGTTTTGTTCGTTGTAAAAGACTAGATGGACCTCTTACATTCGTCGTAAAAGACTAGGCCCCTGATTAGTAGAGAAACATCATCGTTATGCAATAATAAGTAGGTTCCACAAGGCTATCCAGGATATTTTTAAATAATCAAGCACATCCAAATTTTAAAAAAAAAAAATGTTACCAACTCGAAGAGTTCAAAAAACCTTAAGCAAGTTGATGACACGTTCTTGTTATTGTCTACTCTAAAACCAGCCACTACACTCTTAACATATCATGCCACAAATTACAAGCCTATCATTAAAGTTATACTTTCAACCAAACCAATCAAATTGTATTAACGTTCACCAAAAACCAAACGCCGCCACAAATTCCAAAAACAAGAAAATCATAACGAGATAGAAAGGCATACTTAGGAGCAAGACAGAATGGAACAGGTTCCCTAGCGAAGGTTGGATGAGGAATTCCAGGCAAATTACAACTTATGCTAATATAAGCAGGCTTGCTTTCCTTCAAAGCAGTAGAAATTGCAGTGTCAATCTGCTCATGCGCATCATCCAAGTTGTTCACTACTGCCTGCAACATTACCACCATCATGATCACTATCACCACATAGTGTATATACCAATACTAACATAAACATGTATTGTGTATATGTAGATCATACTTACTTGAAAACAGGTGACTGTCTGGAAGCACCTGAGCTCCTGACTAAAATCAGGCAAACCAATAGTGTGATGCAAAATTCTGTTAGTCCCATAATCATTAGAATTAGGACCACCCACAATACAAATCACAGGCAAATTCTCACTATAAGCACCAGCAATTGCGTTAAGCACACTAAGACCACCAACAGTGAAAGTCACTACACAAGCCCCCACGCCTCTGGCACGTGCATACCCATCGGCAGCATATCCGGCGTTCAGCTCGTTGCAGCAGCCGACCAAGTTCAGCCCGGGCTCTGCTATCAAATGATCCAAAAGCGTCAAGTTGAAGTCTCCAGGGACCGAGAAAACATCACTGACGCCGATCTCCACCAATCGCCGAGCCAAATGGCGGCCCAAAGTGCCACTGCAGGTTTTACCTGCTACAGAAGCCGGTACGGAGCTCGGTTGAGCAATTGATCCGAGTTGATTGGCAGCTTCCATCATGAAATAGCAACGAAAATGTTGAAAAAGACGTTAACTTTAGAATATGGGGTTTATGACAGAAATGAGAAAGTCGAACCTTTGTAGGTTCTGAAGGGTTTTGGTGTGATAAATATAGGTTTTGAGATATGGGCTTGTTGAGCAAAGACTGAAAGAGAAGGAAAAGTATTGGTTATGGTTTTGAAAACCATGGGCAAATGGTATAAACCAAGATTGAGGTAGAACCTTGAAATGTGCAAAATGGTAAAGTGAGTGATAACTAAAAGAAATAAGAAAAGTCATCGGCTGAATGTGAAGTGGACCTTTGAAAAAAAACCAAATTGGATTCTTGGAGCTGTTTTGGTTTTGCCGTAGGTTTCTGCAGTTGGATCAGTAGCTTGATTAGTCTTCAATTAATTAATAGTATAATTTGGAAGACAGATGTGAAGGCATAATACATGACAAACCAACAGAGCAGTCTGGTTTTTCAAATCAGTAAGCAAAAAGGAACAATACTTGACCACTTGCGAGGTTGTTTTTTTGAAATAATTGTTATTTAAGAAAGAAAAAAGGAAAAAAAAAAAAAGCTATAAAATGGAACTTTTCATTCAATTTGTCCTTTGAATTCACATTTTGAGCCTAATTTAGCTAAAAAGTCTTTAAATTTATCTAAATTCTCACATAGTTTTGCCTAAATTTAGCTTTTTAGAGCAAATTACATCCGATTTACAAGTTTAAAGGTAATTAGAATTAAAAAGTCACATTTTTATAGCTTTTTTTTTTTTTTCTAAATAACAAATTCAATTTTATTCCTTATCTTTTCAGATTTATTTATTCCTGATGTAATAATCCTCATTCCTTGCATATCCAAATTTGGAATGTCCCTTTCTATCTCCAGCAGAGCAGGCAGCAGGGGGACAGAGTTGCAGATATAGGAATGGGTAAATTGGTTACCTTACTTAGCTTTGCATATAACATATTGCATTTTGAATAAAATCGACATTTTCTTGTTTTTCTATTTTTGTAATATTGTGAATAGAACCGTCTTTTGATTTAATTTAATGATTTGTCATCCATTTAAAAATTTTCCATTTTGTAGGGACCATCAGGCATGTGCTTTCCATTTTGTGTGGACCAGTAGTAGGCATGTGTTTTCCTGTGACCTACTTGAGGCCTGACTCATGCAAATAATAAAATAAATATTCTTTTAATTATTTAACCTAATTGATCAAACTGGGCTAAACTCTAGCCGAGAATTGAAGCGGAATGGATAAGAGCGAGTCAAGTTGGGCTTTTGTTGATTTTAAGGCCCATTAAGCCAGTTTAGCTTTTTCAATGATTTTCTTTAGCCCCTTCCTTAGATGATATAGAAAACTGTGAGGTGGCCATAAATTATGGATGATACCAAATTATGATGATATATATATATAATTAAATAATGGATGACCAAAGATAATTAAAGGAAACTGTGTTTCCAATCTCTGCAAACACATAATTTAAGAAACCTCAAAAATCAAAAGTTCAAATGAACTTGTACAAAGGAACAATCCAAGATGATTAACATGAAAGAACAAAAAAAAAAAAAAAAGTTAAAGGATACAATCCAGATGATTAACATGAAGAAAAAAAAAAATAAAAAAAGTCAACCATTCAGCATCCCAATACGCAAAGGGAATAGTCCAATCCAATGTAAAAAAAAAAAAAAAAAAAAAAGTCAACCATTCCGCATCCCAATACCAAAGGAATAGGCAATCCAATGGTAATTAAAACAAGAAATGAATCTAAATAAAATGAGATATATACTCTTTAAAAAGAAAAAATAAAAACCCTAACAAGGAATCTTGGAGGTGAACCACTTCATGATAAGAATGGGAGCCTTGATCAGTCCCAGTGCGAACTCAACTATCAACGTCACGCAAAAGCAGCATGGGCATATGCAACTCAACACCAACCTGAAAAAAGAAAACATAAAAACAAGTATTAGTTTAATTTTCTATCTTGTTTATGTAAGAAATCGAAAAAAGAAAAAAGAGAGAAAGAGAGAGAGATGTATATATGATAGAAACTAACCCAACAATCCACACAACAACACCAACAAGAGAGATGAGTAGTGAGAGAAAGGCAAAAGGAAGGCCTAAGAGAAACCCTAAAGGCCTGCATTCACAATCTTCGCCACAGCAACACATGGTTTGTTTCTTGTTTCTTGTTCTTGTTCTGGTTGGTTGGGGCAGCCTCTGTTCTGTTGTAGAGAAAAACTGTTGGAGAGAAAAACGAGTAGAGGAACTTTGACGGAGTAAACAAAAGAAAAGAATATCAATAAGACAACAAGTAGAAAGAAAACGTGTATTATATAATGCCGTTTAAACGACGATAAAAGCCAAAGTCTATAATATTACAAGGATGGATTACCAACCAATACCGACTTCCCAAGCAACTTCCGTCACTCTTCCATGGAGTTTTTTTTTTTTTTTTCCTCTCCAATTTGGACTTGGATTTCTCATTTATCTATCAAGATATTTTTTTTTTTTAATTCAAACTAGGAATGACATGAGCATAGGCTGAGCTGTTTTATGTCTTATCCTGAAATAAGGGATGATTTCAATTAGTAATTACTAATCGATAATTACTAAAATCATGCAGCCTATGTTTTATGATAATAATTTATTCTCTAATAGTTGAATTACACAAGTACAATAATTCCTGAGGGACAAGAAAATGACGAACAATATACATACAAAAGAAAGAAGGAATATTTCAGTTCAAAAATTGTCAGATAGCTTCCAACCTCTCACATGAACCACAAAGGAAGAAGAAAATTGAAGTCTGCCCCGAGTCTTTAATTAGAATGTGATGCTGTTGCCGTCAAAAATGGACTTATTTAACAAGCTTAATTAAGCTGACAAGGTTGAATTTGACCAAAAAACAAGGAATATACTGCCAATACGGGAAATCAACAGTTTCCTGATGCAAAACAAAACAATGAATACCAATAGCAAATTAACCTTCAGAGGGCATATCTTGTAGTAAATGATAATTACAAACAATACTCTTTCGGTCCTGAATGTTGAATTCAGCCTGTATAACAATGTCTTCTTCTTTAGATCTCAAGCAGCATTACTTACAGTGCTGTTGTCTCGGCTCCAAACTCTTCTTTACAATACAAGTCCTATGAAAATTATGTAGGAACATTCTTCTGATACACTTTCAAGCAGTTATCAAATTGTTTAAAATCATTCCAACTATGCCTGTCTACTCACACTTAGAGTTAACAATTAGAAACTGAGATGCATTTGCCATTTCAACCTTGATTTTTTTTTTTTTTTTTTTTTTTTTTTAGAGTTAACAATTTAGAAAACTGAGAAATGCAATTTGTCCATTTTCAACCTTTGAATTTTGTTTTTTTTTTTTTTTTTTTTTAGAAATGAACTCTTGAGATTCCGAATACTGCATGCAAGAAAACCCTTTGCAGGTAACAGGATACAGACTAAACCTTGACCCTCGGGTCTCCCTAAATAGATCTCAATCAGTTAATTCAACCAATCAACAAAATTAGCTGGAAACTAGAGCATGTGGAACTAAGATCTTGGGGAAGTTTCAATAAATCATTATATTTTAAGGAATTCATTTGGGTCCTAACCAAAATTCTGCTGTACCGAAAACCCACGCGTGTTTGACATCTTCATTTTCTGTTATCCGTCACTTCCTCCAATCCAACGTTAAAACCCATTGAATTCCAAAGATATAATTCCATTTTCCATCAGCAAGTTGTGATGATGTAAGACTTCGGCATGTGAGCTTTTGCAAACCTCAATGATATCATGTGAACATTTGTTCTAAGCAAAGCATAATAACTGAAAAGTTCTTGATAAGGGGTGATGGCTTTGAATATTAAGTTCATGGTGAATGGATGTTGTTTAAACGCTACTCAAAGATGACGAATTTTTTTTTTTTTTTTTTTTTTTTTTAGAATGAAACCTTGAGATTCGAATACTGCATGAAGAAAACCCTTTGCAGTACACAGGATACAACTAACCTTGACCCTCGGTCTCCCTATAGATCTCAATCAGTTATTTCAACCAATCAACAAATTAGCCTGAAATCTAGAGCATGTGGACTTAAATCTTGGGGAGGTTCATAAATCATTATATTTTAAGGAATTCTTTGGGTCCTAAGCCAAAATTCTTCTGTACCAAACCCCACCGTTTGACATCTTCATTTTTCTTGTTATCCGTCACTTCCTCCAATCCAACTTAAACCCATTGATTCCAAAGATATAATTTCCATTTTCCACAGCAAGTTGATGATGTAAACTTCGGCAATGTAGCTTTTGCAACCTCAATGATACATGGAACATTGTTCTAAGCAAAGCATAATAACTGAAAAGTTCTTGATAAGGTGATGCTTTGATAATTAAGTCATGTGAATGATGTTGTTTAAAGCTACTCAAAGAGACGAACCTTCTCACTTATGATGTCAGTTCACATCTCTTGCCTGACCGGAAGCATCATATAACACTTTCAGTTCCAACCCAACTGCTACCGGTATCTTTTAATATCCCTCTTGACTTCATTGTCTCCCTGAGCTCACTTACATTATCCCATTTCCCGGCACTTGCCAAGGCATTTGATAGCGCCATAAAGGCACCAGGCCTACCTTCAGCATTCAGCTTAAAAAGTTCATTGGCAGCTACCCTTGCCATCTCTACACTGCCATGCAGATTACATGAACTCAGAAGAGCTGCCCAAACATCAGAATTGGGCTTCTCAGGCATCCCCATTACAAAGTCCCATGCTAGGTGTAAACTTCCTGCACGCCCCAAAAGGTCAACCATGCAAGCATAATGCTCCATCCTTGGTTTCATTGAGTAGTCTTTCTCCATGCTTTCAAATATCTCGCGACCTTCAGCAACTAAGCCAGCATGCGCACATGCACATAGAGCACCAAGGAATGTAACGTAGTTGGCCTCAGTACCACATTGGCGCATCTTATAAAAAAGCTCAAGTGCTTCAATGGGCATTCCATTCTTTCCATATCCATCAATCAAGGAAGTCCATGAAAATACATTCTTCTCAGGCATGCAGTCAAAAACTCTTCGTGCATCTTCAATTCTTCCACATTTTGAATACATGTCTATAAGAGCACTCCCCACTTTTATGTCAGTAAATAACTCGGTCTTCAAAAGCTGAGCCTGTACTTGCTGACCAATCTCAAATCCTGCCAACACAGAACAAGCCCCAATAATGCTGGCAAAAGTCGATATATTAGGCCTAAAACCAAATCTTTGCATCTCAACATAAATCTCAAGCGCTTTAGTTGCCGTTTCAACTGATTTGCTATAGCCTTCTATCATTGCATTGAAAACCACTACATCTTTTTCAATAGTCTTCTTAAAAATCTCCTCAGCATCTTCCACAAAGCCTCTGTTCATGTACCCAGAAATCATAGACGTCGAACATATCACATTCTTCTCTATCATCATATCAAAAACTCTCCTTGCAAAATCAATCCTCCCACTCTTCACATATGCATCAACAAGCGCAGTACAGAGAACATCATCAGGCTGAACATCTGATTTAACTATCTGGGCGTGCACCATACCTACTAAATTACGTGGCAATGCAAGATTACAACCACTAGTAGAAACCTTTAGTATCATGGAATACGTAAACCCATCAGGCCTTTCACCATCAAGTATCAACCTTTGTACCAAACTTATCGATTCTGCTACTAACCCTTGTTTCAAATAACCACCAACCATATAATTATAAGCCGAAAGAGTCCGTTGAGGCAATTCGTCGAACATCTGGCGCGCATTCTTCAGACGCCCACATTTCAAGTGAAGAATAAGGAGTTTGATGGATAAATTGGTATTGGGTACAAAACCAATTTTCAAAATATGGGCATGGATCGTTTGGCCGTAAAAGGGAGTATCTGATTTGATGTAGCGTTGAAGGACTGAAGATAGTGTAGTAGCAGTAGAGCGGCTGATGTGGTCTTCATTTGGCGAGAAGATTTGGTTTAGTGAACCCTGGTAAGCACGGCTGTTGAATAACGAGAAACTGCTTGGTCTAATTGAAGATAGCTTTGACATTTTTCATCGTGAAAATCAGTTTGGTGACATTTGTTAGAGTGGTGGTTTGTTTGAGTTTAGGCTTTGCACATTTGTTAGAGTGGTGGTGACATTTTTAGAGTTTGGTTTAGGAGCAGATGTTTTTGCGGCTATCGTTTTTCTAAGCACGGTGAAATTTATTATCAATAGAGCTTTCGTAGCTCACACTCCAACGAAAGCATTATTATTTTATTAATGCACTGAAACTCAATTTATGACATACTTTCTTAAGAGTAATGAATAGGCTAGAAATGAAATTGAAAATACAACTAATTTGCAATAAAAAAAAAAATAATGTTCCTAGAGAATTATTTTAATTTAATGATTTTTTAAAGAATAAATATTAAATTAAAGATAATAAAATCAATTTATCTAATAATTTAAATAAATTTAATAACTTTTTAAATAACGTAAAATTTTAAATATAATAAATATTATAAAAAGGGATAGTAATTAGTACTCGCATGCACCGATTATCTTTAATAACAAAGCAAATGACGCATGATCTTTCTTTAATTTTCTTTTAATTTTAAATATCCATTCCAATTAAATTAACTATTAATTAATTAATGCAATTATTAGAGGTTGCATCAATCTCATCAGTTTTAACCCTTAGTGGGCCTCATATTTTTTTCTTTTCGACAATTAATGGGCCTAATACGGGCTCTCCTTTCACATCTTTAGCGCATGGTATTTAGAAAATTATTGAAAATATATTATTATATTATTAACTAAATATAATATTCAGGAAATTATTATTTTTCCTTTATGCGTCTAATAATTTTTTAAACAATGCTCAAATTCAAGTCATAAGATACCATTTTTTAAAGAACGTAAAAGAAAAGGTGCTTTGTGTAATTAATTATGCAATTTCTTTATCCTATAACCCATATTTAAAAAACTCATCAAACCTTTTAACATATAATAAGATTTAGTTTTGATTTTAATATAAAAAATCTTTTTTTTTGTTTTACTTTCATTAAACTAAAACAAATTCAAATCAGAAAAATAATAAAAAATAAATTGAATTGAATGAAGTTACAACGAGACACAGTAATTGCACGAAGAAAAAAATAAAAAATGTTAAAAATACCATTAAAACCATCGGAATTGAGCCTATAAAACTGAATCAAATATCCAAAACCACCAATAAAAAAAAATAATGGATTTTCAAAAAGAAAATGATCACCAGCAACAAAGATTTCTCCAATCAAACATATTTCACATAGCAAAAAAAATTCTCAATAGTGATCAGCCACCAAGAAAATAAAAAAAACAAAGAGACGAAAAACAGGGAAGATGGAGAACATGGCCATGGCGATGGTTGGCTGGCCATTTAAATGAGTTGATCAAAATAAATTGCATATGGCGTTTTTGTATCTATTTACTGGGAAATTATTTGCCTGGACTGGATTTATAATCAGGTTTATTAATCAAACTAATCATAATTAAGAATTTTTAAAAAATGTTCCAATTTTATCATTTTTTAAAAGTAAAAAATGCTCTCGTTTCAATAAAAAATTTTATTTTTATTAGTTTGATTTATAAACCCGATCTAAATAAATTATTTTCCTTTTTTTTTTTTTCTATATACATCAATACATGAGTTGTTTCATTGAGAAAGAGAATAAATTATACATAAATCTGATATTTAAAAGCATTTTTAAGGTTAACGGCGGGAATAAATGCTTGTATTATCTAAAAGTCCGGAAAATGGAAAGCCTAATTGAAAATATCTATATTTTATATTTTTTACACGTCAGATTCAGATAGGAAATAGATATTGCCAATCTTTCCATTTTTCATAAGATGCTATAAGAGAAAAGAGAGTCACCTTCTCTCATCTATCCTCTGGCCTGCAATTTAATGTAAAGTCTAGTGCTCAATGAGCGGTCTCCGTCATGTCAGCAATTCAGAGTATGGTAGTGGCAGTTCCGTAACTATAGCAAACTATCATTTCTAATATTGTCCATTTATTAGGTAAGCGAACGCAATTAATTGTGCCGCTAGATGATGACAGTACAATTTACCAACTACAAATCGGAGATCAAATGTCTTATCCATCCGTCGCAATTCTGGTATAATAATTAATTATCAAGGTTATTTTGGTCCTTAACTTACTTTTTAGTTCTTGGAATTGATTAGAATGGAAATAAATACGACTAGACCTGACTATACTCATACGCCAACGAAACCGGAAGTTCAAGAAACCAAGAAACTAGACTTGGCGGAGAGATCCAAAGCCACTAAAATCCTTGGAAAGGAGAGTCAACGCACCTTAAAAACTCCAATCGCTGTTCATTTACCCTCAATAGTTTATGAGTAACACCGTTAAAAGAGAGCAATAAGCTTGAGTTGTTTTATAGTTCGTGCTAACAAACAGAAGGCAACCATAAAAGATCAGATTACGAAAGAGAGAAAGACTGAAAGTTCACTTTTTTTTGTTTTTTTGTTCTCCCTTTTCTTTTAGCGAAACCCATCTCAGATTTGTTAAGAATGAGGCCGAAGATTTATCTTTTTGGTGACTCCATCACTGAAGAGTCATTTAAAGATGACGGCTGGGGTGCTTCTCTTGCAAACCATTTCGCTCGCACGGTATATTAATTTCCTTCTATATGTTTGTTAAAAGAAAAAAAAAAGACACGATCTTTATGATTTTCTTGTTTCGTGTTTTTTGTAATCTTGATTTTCAGGTTGATGTGCTGCTTCGAGGGTACAGTGGATATAATACAAGATGGGCTTTGAAGGCGGCGGAAAGGGTGTTTCTGCCAGTGGAAGGTGGAGCAGATGGTGGTGCAACGCCCTTAGCTATAACTGTGTTTTTTGGTGCTAACGATGCTTGCCTTCCCGATAGATGTTCTGCTTTCCAACACGTGCCTCTTCCAGAATATAAGAGCAACCTTCACGCCATTTTCTCATTTCTCAAGGTATTTAATTAAAAATCTCTCTGCATCATAACATCCTCACGTGTGTCTGTGTTATTTACATATCTATTATTTGTGCATCTATAATTCACAAATTAGTTAATATGCTAAAAAATACAGTATCATCTGTCAACCATTTCAGCATATAAATTGATTTGCTCCGACTGAACAAAACATTTTAGTTAACACATGCACATTAGAATAGTTAAAATACTGATTAAGTGCTGGTATGTGGTAAAATATATATAGAGGATTGTAGATTTTAGCATTAGATTTTCGGGACATCTGCAAGAATGATCACAATCGTATATTGGGTTGACAAAACTAGTGTCAGAGTGATTGATAGATGAATATGTGGGGGTCTGATTGGATTAAGAGAGAGATGAATCCAAACAAAATGTCCAGTGGTGTGGCCCAGTTGTCGCTGTTATTGTTGGCCATTTGGTTATTATAGTTATGGGATGTGAAAAAAGAATGGCAGCTAGTTAGCTATAATTTTCTTTTTCAGAGATTTTAAACAAAATCATTGATTTCTCTACTATCTTTCTCATCAGGCTTCCTTTTTGCAAACGCAGCCATTTTTATGGGCATTCATTATTATTTTACGTATGGTAAAGTTGATGTAATTGATGATCCAAGATTCAAGAATGTGAGCATGTCATGATACAAGAAATGGGACCTCCTAACGTTGGTGATCCATCATGGCATTTGCTGGAGTTTTAGTGGGTTTAGTTATACTTATATATCAAATGTCACGCGGTTGTTGGTTTCTATTTGTTGCTTTCTTGCCTCTTTTCATCGGCTGGGGAATTTTAAATTTAGTTCTCTTTCTCTGTTTTAGAAAAGGCTATGTCCTTCATTCTATAAACTAATAGATCTAACCCCACCTGAAAAAGGCTCATTCTAACTTAAAATATTATAATTTTGCAATTTAACTTTTATTTTTCTGTAACGGCATAAAAAGTTTATTTAACCTTTGGCTACATAACAAAGTTAGTGGTGAATTACTTTTCTTTTCTTGTACTCATGAACTTTGAAATTTCGAGCCTTCTAGCTTTGTTTGACAAATGAAGGAGATTCTGTAGTAAGTTAGCTTGAAGCTAACTCCAGCAAGCTCTACCGTTAAGATTGATAAGTATTTTGAGGTGGTAATTGCTTAACTTTAATGTGCTAATTAATTTTTTGTGTATCAGACACGTTGGCCAAAAACAATCGTTCTTTTCATCACTCCTCCTCCAATTGATGAAGCTGCACGCCTCCAGTATGGTTCTGTGATCATCATCCTTGCTGGTTAATAAGTAGAATGAATATATTGTTCTATGTAACCTTGGTTTTCCTTAATTGATTTGAAAGTAATAGTCAGTTTTAGATGATTATACGAAAATTTCTGATGAAAACTTTAACTCTCGGAAACTGTGCAGGCATCCTTATTCTGAGAATCATTTAGGTCTGCCCGAGAGGACAAATGAAGCTGCTGGTGCTTATGCCAAGGCATGTATTGCTGCTGCAGAAGAATGTGGGTGCCCAGTGATCGATATCTGGACCAAAATGCAGCAGAATCCCGACTGGAAAACAGCTTATTTATGGTATATATGTATATATATGTTAGCTTCTCTTAGAATTCTGAATTAGAGGAATAGATGTTTGACAACCGAAAAAAGAAAAATTTAATTGCCAATTGTTCAAGGAATTTTCTTGGCATCCATTTATTTTCTACCTTATGAATAATTATTTAGACCAAATAATAAATATACTCTCGTTTCAGTTTTCTGCATTTCTTAATTTGTTTTTCTATAATGTTCTTTTGGAATTGTAGGGATGGTCTGCATCTAACTAGGAGCGGAAATAAGCTTGTGTTTGAGGAAGTGGTGGTGAAGCTGAAGGAACAGGGGCTGAGTGTAGAGACATTGCCCGTTGATCTCCCACTTATGGGTGATATTGACCCTCAGGATCCACTAAAAGCATTTTTGAAATAATCAAAATCATTGCCTAATAGGTTTTTCTTTTGTTTCAGTTATATTTATAAATAGCCATGAGAGTGATACCTGAAAAAATGTTCATTATCTAGAACTGGCTATGGTGAAGCAAATTGCTTTGGTGAAAAAGCATTGTTTCTCTATTTAATTTAAGACATTGTCACTCTCTCATAGTGCATCTAGCTTTGTGAATGAAAAGCATTATCCCCTGTGTCTATTTCTATCATTTCTTGGTTCTTGGTTGTTATTAGATCACGTTATAATGGTTGATGAAAAAGATCATGGCGTCCATATTCCATGAAAAAGAATATTGCAAATGCACAAAGAAGAGTAATACTGCAAACCATCGTTTGGACACTTGAAGAACAATGATCGAATCGCGACGATGATGGAATGGGCTCTGTATTAGCGGGCCTCATACTTCTTCGTATTTTAGTTATAATCTAATTAAGTCAAACGACAACCCGTTTTTAATATTTCCTGTGCAAGACGACACATGTCTGAAGCTGCATTAGGGGTGCAATTTGATTTGATATATTTGGTTCTAAATTGAAATTTAATTTAAAATGAAATATCAGATTAAAATTTCAGAATATAAGTATAAAATGGAATGATTTTTTTTTTAAAAAAAAAAGATACGTGAGATATGGAATGAAAATATAAACATTCTATATTTTAATGCATGCATGTTCTAAATTTTTATTTTTAATTTTTTAATTATATTTAAAATACAGTTAAATATGAATATTTTTTTTAAGGAAACAACGGTCATATTTTAATATAAATGTTTTCTTTTGACAATAATTAAACATGATTAATTCAGCTACATCTTCATTTTTTTTTCTTTTTCTCCAATTTTTGTTGTGTTATTTATTTAGCATGTCCTAGGACATTTAATCATGATACTTATTTGTTCATTCAAATTTGTGTTTTTTTCTCCTGAAATTCATATTTCTTTCAGCACATATATATAGTTTTCTCATATATTAGGTTAGATTAAAAAAATTTTTTTGGATACATTGAAGGGAAAAAAACTCAGAGAGAACACCTAAGACACAATCCGTCTAACACGAGGCCAAACCACAACCTTCAATATCCTAACGCATGAACCTCAACACCTCAGCAGGAGGACTTTCAAGAACATGACTACCAAAGGCTAGATTAAATTTTAAAACATATTTCACTGTAAATATTAAAACATTAAACATTTCTAAATGAGAACATAACTCTTAATTTCTTCTACGGAAGACAGACACTTTCGACCGAAAAAAGAAACGGGAGAAAAAAACAAAAATATAATGAAACTTAATAACGGGAAACTAAATGGCACTGCTCATGAATTGCATGCACTAAATTATCAATTAGCCATTGATATAGTGGAGATCAATGCTCCAACACATTTTCTACACCAATTATTGAAGCTCATATTCTTCTTTTTCGTTTTTCTTCCTATTCTTGCCTTACAAGGAGCTTTAGGAACTCTGAACAGTGCATGCATATAACTTGTTTACTGTTTAGGGCAAAGCTCCTGATGGTTCAGAGTGATGTTCAGGATTTGGGCCACCAGGTGAGACTCTTGAAGTTGATGCATCTGTCACTTCCTTCTTCACAAGACGCTTCATTTTTGACAAATCATACCCTAATTCTTGCAAAAGAGAACTACTATCAATTCTTTTGGGTACAGCCCTAACGCCACGAAAGCTCGACGCTTCCAAATCAATCACATTCAAAGATAAAATGAGAAGGATAATTATTGAAACTTGCACCATAGTTTTATTAGCCATGAGAGTTGATGTAAGAGTGTGATTTTGCTTTGAGGGATATTCTAGGGTTGTGAGTAGAGTAGTGTGTTACAACATAGAACAAAAACATGAATTTATACTGCAAATTTGAAGAAAAAATATCTGAAATTTTAAAGATTAAACGATCGATAATGGCCGCGGCGTCTATGAGAGGACAAATCCATCGTCGTGTACCCTGTTGTCTTTTCTTAATTCCCATCTTTCATTACTAAGTACCAACTAGAACTTGTCTGTCCACTCATCAAAACCGTTTCTTTATGTTCAATATTTTGGACAGTTGTTGAACATAAGTTAACGTTAAACAATGAAGATTTATGTAAATGGGAAGTTGAATGGGAGGAGATATGGAAACCCTTTTTACCAATAAAACAAAAGAACCTTTAATGCTGATTTTCTTTTTAATTTTTTAAATAGAATTCTTTTGTTTGATTATCAGTAAATCTCCATAGATAAGTGCGTTCTTGCTTTTCATATGGGTATGGTGTCTCTTTCCACATGGTTACTAATAAAAAACAGCCTCCACTTCTTCCTAATTTGGCAGTTGGAAATTCATGTTTGTTTTCTTCTGTCTCTTTTGCTTATATAACTTTGGTGTTATTTTATGCCTTGATATCCTGACATTATACCTTAAAAATATTCAAAGTGATTTATGCAGAACGCAGTACAGCAAAGACAAACATATAAAAATTTGGATTAACATAAAGATTGAGGAGAGAGGAAGAGTGCTTTTATTTTTTATATTTTTATTTTGTTTTTGAGTTGATTAAAGATTACAAACTTTCGATTATGCTATAAAAAACGGTCAACGATTTGAAATCAGTTATCCCTTTATCCGTGCCAAAAGTCACAGAACTATTGATTCCACTTATTACAATTATTAGGATCATAAATAAATCAATCCTCCTATGAGTTGTTTATTACTTATTCAAGTTCATTTGATAAGCATAGCCAAGTTGGAATATGTTTGTCAAACATATTTAATCAATGAATTATTCTTAAGCTTTGAAATAAGTCTTGAATCGGATTTCGAGCTTATTTGATAATTACAATGAACTGAGCTTGAGTTTCACCATTTTTTTAAGCTTGCCAAACTCGAGCTCGATGTTTTAACTTTAATCGAATTTGAATTCAAAGCCTATAATTCAACTTCATTAGTAAACCTATAATCACCATTGCAATGAATTAATTCCTGGTGGTTTAGAATAGCAGATTGCTTTCTCCTGATTAAGCACAACGTATTAGACAATTAGAAGTGTGGGAGTCTAGTCATTGAATTGAGCATTATACTTGCTTGCTAAAAGATTATGAATGGACGTGGCTCTTCCAGAATTTTCATTGATGAGTTTCATTCTACATTTTTGGCTTCTTCTCAACACTCAACTTAACTAATGATTCAAACCCCACAATTGTCTGCGTTTACCGACAAAATCCTAGAATCCATGTTTTGTCCACGATATACTTATTATGGCCCAGTAGTAACCTTTTCTAGGATTGAACAGCAAATTTGTTGTGAATTAAATTTTATTTCTTTTTTTGTCATATGGTCAATAATTCGTATAGTTAATGAAAATATACGAGGAAAAACAGATGTACTTATCCCAGATAACATGGAGGTTGGGCCTAGTAGTAATATATCCATGGACCCTTTTTTTTTTTTTTTTTGGCTCTCAACACTCACTTAACTAAGTGAATTCAAACCCCACAATTGTCTGCGTTTACCGACAAAATTCCTAGAATCCATGTTTTGTCCACATGTTGTTTAGTACTTATTATGGCCCAGTATGTGGAACTTTCTAGGATTTGAACAGCAGAATTTGTTTGTGTGTTAATTATAATTTTAGTGTTTTTCTTTTGTTTGTCCAGTATGGTCAAGGTAATTCGTATAGTTAGATGGAAAAATATACGAGGAAAAACAGATGTTACTTATCCAGTATGGAACGTATGGAGGTTTTGCCTATGTAGTAATATATTCATGGGACCCTTTTTTTTTTTTTGTTTGGTGTATTGCAATTTTTGACCCATGTCGTGATCCTAACTCTTGGATGAAGCAGGCCTTTTTTTTTTTTTTTTTGGTAATGTATTGCAATTTTGAGCCCATTCTGATCTAAACTCTTGGATGAAGCAGGGTGTTTAGCCATAAGTTGCATTGTTGAATTAGTGACAATAATGCATGCATTACATTATCTTTTTGGCAAAGAAGGTAAAACCTATCAAACAGAAACTTAAAACAAACATCTGAGTCTAATAAAGTTCATATACTACTTGCTAATCAAGTTTGGTTTGATCCGTCTACATCGTATAGAAAACGTGGAAAATGAGATATCTCGAGTTCGAGTCTCCTCCACCGTAAAAGTTTTCATAAATTTGATGAATGTTATTGAAAGGGAAGGCTAAAAAAAAAAATTCATATACGCCAGCACTTCATTTAGTCAAATAATCAGCTTAAAATTTCTTTCCGTAAGAGGATGAATATGAACACAAAGACATTACCAATTTAAGTGAAAACATAACAAGCTTTATTCCTCTCAAGTACTTGCACCCAATTATTTGTTTATTTATTTTCTGGGTAACACATAAAAGTTAAGTTCCGAACTTCCATTATATAAAGAGGTTGGTAAGATAATCTGCAAATTTCAATCAAGAAAATGTACTGAAACACAGAATAGTAAAACTTCCATTAATATCTTGACAAGGTTACCTTAACATTAAGAACAAAATGAAAAGCATAAACCAAGACAAACATTGGTTAATTATACGGAAGACGCTAATCATGTTTAGAGTGATGTTGTGGATCAGGGCCTCCAGGGCTCTTTCTGTCAGGATATTCGTATCCACTTCTGTTTGCTGTATTGGCGAACTCATTCAAGGCCTCGTATAATTGTCTTACATTCCTCTTCTTAAAGTTGGAATCTAGGGGACGGCCACTCTCTACCTTTGCAGAGAAGAGCAAAACAAGTACTATCGTTATCAACAGGCACAGAAACCCTAACTTTGCCATTCAACTCACTGTACTTAGTTACTTACTGCAGCTTATTTTGTTTTCTGGTTGATTTGAGGGTACTTGTGAATGTGTCCTAAACCCTATTTATATAGGCTGGTGAGCTTGACTGAGCATATTTATATGGGCTTGTAATATTACATATGCAATATTGCTTTCTCTTCAATCACTAATCGATATAGTGGACGGACAGAGTGTAATTCAATCCCCACAATCTTGATTTGCCGGCCTACGTGGAATAATCGGTTTTTTCTCGATTAGCTCTTTTAACTGTCTCTCTACCTTACATCTTCTTGTTATATTGAAATATGACTTGTCCACTATATGTCAGTTCTTTTCTTTATTTTTCATTTTGTTTTATATACATACACATCTCCATGCTCTCGAGTTAAAGATAGCGTAGATAAAATCTTTCTAACAGTGATG